GGAGGACTTTTACTTTCTGAACCTGGACGTTACACCTCTGACTGTGTATACAGGCCTATATTGATATTATTGGTCATGTGTGGATTATAGGGCTATATTCTTGATCAGACAGGCAGTCTCTCTGCAGCTGGGCTGGTTCCCACTATCTCTCCCCCACCTGGCTCTTATCCTGTGCTGTCTGCCACACATCAAATAGGGTTTTAACATTACTAAAAGACAGTGAGAGAAACAAACAGGCCTCTTAGAGACAGCTGTTTATTGTAAGTACTATACAGAGAATTACAGACAGTGACAGTGCGGCGTGTTTTGCATTTACATATCGGGTGCCCAAAGAAAAAAATATGTTCCGTAATTGGTTTTGTGGTCTGTTGAGAAATACTGTAGATGTCCAGACAGATATGTCTTCATTCCTTCCGGATAGAGAAACAAACAAACAAAGAGGATGTGTTGACCTGAGGCACTGGGGGATAATAGAAAAATATTTTATATAATAAATTAGGCTACATGTCTTCCATGCACACGCACGCTAATGCAGACGTTGGAACTTGTAAAGGGAAAAAAAACTTTGTAGCAGGACACATCTGGAGAAGCCGAGCGGATGTACGAAGTCTGACGTGGTCAGGCTACATCTGGAGAGGTTATCATGAATGTTATAATTTGTCATTTTTGATTATGTGTTTGCAAGCGTATAATGATCTTTCCACCCACTCAGACACTCAGCCAACCCAGGGACCTACTAATATTAAAATATAATTAAATATAATATTAAATTATATTTCACAATAACATTAACAAAACATGCCAACACTTTGTTTACACATTTAGAAGTTTGAAGTATAAAAGTTGATAAAACAACAACAATGATACCAATAATGCTCATCAAAAAATGAATACCTTTAAAAAAATGTATCCTGCTATTTCCGACAATAGTTTATATGCATGCACCCAGAACACTTGATCAATGACTTCTCTTAAAAAAAGCTCTGCCTTGAGTGGAATATAATTAAGCTTGCAGTCAGAGGTTAAACCGCATACACATTTTATATTTCCAAGTTCTATATAATTGTCAAATACTGTAGAGCACTTATCTCTGACATCATTTGTATACTAGCTACTGAGCTACTAAGCCATCTGCCGCTTCTGTTTCTTGACCTTTTATTGGTACTTCATAATAATTTCAATACCCCTCTTGATCTCAGGTCATGACATCTAACTATTTTTCAGAGAAATCTCAAATTTCAGGTTAAAGACAGATTAATTACATGGCCAATCCATTAGCATTTTCATTAATTTATCAAAATGATTCTTTATATGTGCACAAGTGGTCAGATTCATTTCAAAATATTTAAGAAATTGTCTTGATTTTTAATGTGAAATATATATTCTACCAAAAGTCATACAATTATAGAAGTTGAATAATTTAGTGAATTATTGAAAATGGAAATTCTATTATCATTCACTCATCCTCATCATGCCTTTGTAAACCAGTTTGAGTTTCTTTCTTCCATGGAATAGAGGAGTTGTAATCTTTGGGCGCACTATTCCTTTGCTTTAAGTAACCAAAGTAAAACAGAAACAGTAACTTAGAAAACCTGTCAATAATGCTGCAGAGTGATATGAGGTTACTGTATGTGTTCCTTAAAGCCACATCTAAAGTAGGACATGCAGTTGGTGTACATGGTCAAAATAAAAGACTAAATCATTTCTGGAGGTGGTTTTCCTCCCTAGCTACAAAAATACATTCTATGTTAACACAACACCGTTTTAAAAATGGAAAACCTTTTAGTCATTCATTTAGGGAATGTTTATAACATCATCAATGTACTAAAAATGGAACAGTTGTTCCTTTTCGTTTATGAAAAGTTTCGAGTACGACGAAATAGTGACAAAAAAAAGCTGTCTCATGCATATTTATTATAATGCATAATTATTAATTATGCATTATATATGTGAGATATATGGTTTATTTAAAGTGCAAATAAAGCACAAATTAAAATGATTGTGACAGATGGGGAGGAGAATTTATACGTGCGTCAGGTTTCTCGACAAGAAAGGTTTCCGCATAGGATAAACCTGTGCATACTGTTATGGAAGCTTTTACTCCTCGTTACTCGCCTCTTCATGGTCCTTCATGGCTGAATTCGATCAGTTTCCGGGTCACAGGCTGAAGGACGGAGGAGTGAGGAAACGAGGAAACATCAATTTGCACCCAGAGGCGATAATAGTTTTTAAAAACATGCACTTTGAAACCCGTTTTCGAAAGTTTGCATTTTCAGGCCCGCCAAATTCTGTGTGAATGAACGACAAAAAACGCATAAAAAGTTTTCTATTGTTACTTGAAAACAATGTTGTGTATATGCCATGACAGCAGCATTTTGGGAGCCTGACAATGAGTTTTAAAGTGCAAGTTTTGAAAATTATACCGTTATTATCTTGGTAGTTTGTGTAAACTACGATGGTGTAAATCATGACAGCAGCTTCAGGTTGGTGGTCCAAGGCATTGTTGTCTAACTTTACTTGTTGTCTAGCTCCTACAGTTTTGATCTGATCCTCTTCAAATTTGGTGCTTGTAATCTTAAGGCCTTTGCGTCGTTAAATTGCGAAGATCTTGAGTTTTCGTCGAAGGATGTGCCCTTGGCGGCCTGACAAACGTACACCCAATTTCAGCCTTTTGGTGATTTGTGCATGAATATGTCATATAGTTCAATATTGCTTGCTGCAACCACAGACAGCCTGCAGTAACTCAGACATACAATGTCCGAAATTTGATATGTGCTCCGAACAACTCCATAAAAAAGATTTGCAAATATTTAATGACCCATTTCTAGTCATTATAATTTATCACCCTTGACTCTGACGCTTTGACTTAGAGAGAAAGTTCTGAGAACGTTCCCTGTCAGCTGTTGTTTCCATAAGACTATCTACCATTTATCTTGTTCCTGAATAACAAGATTATGCTCACACAATATTCTCCATGGAGATAAAAAACACTATGTCTCCATAGAGATGCTTTATCAGCAGCTTACTAGGCACAGGTTTTGTACTTAGCCGTCTGTTTACTGTAGCTAAGTTGATGGGATAGGCCTATGACAATTGTAGTTGGATATTGCCTATCCTTATCCTCCTACAAACTCATGGTAGACTGATGAGGTCTTTCATGTGATCAGTGTGGAGTTCATCAGCTGGCTCTCCAATAATCTAATCAGTCTACTTTGGTCCTGCTATGATCTAATCAGTGATGTCATCAAAGAGGGAATAAACATGCCCTTATGACTGAGGTATTACAGAGCAGAGGGATGATGGCAAAGTCGTAAATTTGTAACACTGTGAACATTTGGTATAGCTGCTGCAGTAAAAATCCATTAAAATAGTTTCAAATTTACCTTTTGAAGCGTTGAATTTGATTGTTTATGAATGTAGTGTTACACCAAATGCAAATAGACCAAATGGAAACCCATTTGTAAATGTCGGGGAAAAGAAAACATAAATCAGGGTACCAGAAACGCCATGAAAAGAAGGAGAGGGAAGCCAGAGTTGTTGTATCGCAGTCGATCAAGACGTTCTTAAAGACAGGTTGTATTGTTATTTAATACCAATACTAATCAATAATTGATGAGGATACCTGTGAAGAAGCAGAGAAGGTGCAAGATTATCTGCAGGAGGGGCTGTAGAATCAGTTGATGTAGAAATGTGAAGCAATCGCCAGTTCAACGGTTGTCTTGAAGTGATAGTTCACTTTGAAATTAATTTTTGATATGTTTTAGCTTACCTCAAGGGCATCCAAGATGTAGGTGTCTTTGTTTCCACAGTATTTTCAATTTTGATATTTTTAAGTCAAACCGTTCTTGTTTGTGACGTGACTGTGATTACAAGAGGTAAAAACTATACTGTTCGTTTTCTCACACAAACCACTCGTTTCGTGTCTTACATTTACGAGTCATTAAATCATGTTTAATTTGGACTTCTCTGTGCATGCTCTTTGAGGTGGACCCCATATACCTCCATTATATGACTGACAGGCAAGAATGGTTTAACCTAAAAAAATTGAAAATACTGTGGAAACAAAGACAACTACATCTTGGATGCCCAAAAATTAATTTCAAAGTGAACTATCCCTTTAAAGATAGACTTTGCAACTATAAGTAAAATCTGAGTTATAAAATTAATAAATAAATAAATTAACAACATTTGCATTTATAGAATAAAGTGTAACCAATAAAAAATACTTAGTCTTCAAATGTCCCTTAGTAAAAATCCCTTTGAAAACATTTCTCTAAAGACTATAAGTGCATGATTCAAATAAAATATTAGTGTGAAGTAAAAAGTGTGCACAATTGTAGTTAATGTGCACTTGTAGGTCATTTTTATTATTATTACAAAGGTGTCATTATAAATATGAAATAATACATAACATGCACATTTCAAAAGAAATTACATTAAAGCATATTTAGTTTACCATGCTTGTCAACATTGATAAGTACTGTACACTTTAACCATATTTCAAAGACAATAGAAATAATTTTATAATTTTAATTTTAAAACGAAATTATATTACGTTTCCCCCGGTTTCACAGAAATTGTTTAAACCTAGTCCCAGACTGAAATGCACTTTTTGAGCTTTTTTAAAGCTCAACTAAAAGCAACTGGCACTGACTTATCTTAAATTTTTTTTTTTTCTAAAGCATGTTTATAAAAGCTACTTTATTGATCTAAGGTCTAATCCTGGCTTAATCTAATCTACCCTGTCTGTGAAACCAGGCCATAAAGAAAAAAAAAGATTATTATTTAGTCATAAGTTTGGTTATGCCCATATATAGGCTATAAAAAAATAAGAATGCTAAAGAGTAGGCAACTTCTTATTCACCGGGAACGTTGAGACTTTATTTAACGTTACATTATTAACCAAGATACAGAACATAACGCAAGATTCTCGATATCTCATCCAAAACAAAAAGTTTTATTCACCCTCACAGACCACTACTCAGCAGCATAATGATGTCAATCATAGAGGCGATGGCCCCTCCCATCACACAGAACCGAAGCGCGCGGCCGTCAATGGCACTGAGTAGTGCACGTCACCTGTCTTTAACATGTAGCTAGAAACGCTAACACGGCCCGAAATTCAACTCAGATGACCAACACCCTGGTCGCATTTGTGTTTTCGTTGAGCCGAAGTGAAACTGCATGTCAAAGATGTTCGTTATAGTTCGTAATCCAAGCCAAGAGCCGATGTGGGCATAACTGACGTTGTGAATTTAACCGCATTAGCTAACGTTAGCCAGCTAGCTGGGTTTACCTTTAGCTGCTCCAGTTGAAACGAGCTAATATCACCAACGTTCAAAATATAGATGTTCAGCGAGTCGATTCTCGATCATAAAGGCAAATTTGACGGCCTCCTGGAACGCGGGGTCTTTTGGAGAGGAAACTTCAATCGGAGAAACGTAAGTTAACCTACACCACACTTGTCAGACTAACTAGCAAGCTAGCGTTATCTACCGGGATGGACGTGTTTCGTAACTGCTGCACCAAGTCAGTGAGCCCGTAACGTTACTGCTGCCTTCTCCAGGAATTCGACCTGTTAAGGTAATGGCTGTGTCGCAAAACATAGCGAGTTGCCAGTCTAGGCAGCATTTGGGTGTCGTAGGTTTTCGATTTAAACGTAAATAATGATGTCCGAGATGCTGTGTACGTTAGACGCTCAGTCAGTTTTGACACACAGACCACTAATTCCTGCATCAAACACTATTTCCAAAGACAACAACAGTGCTGGCGTTTAATAACTCCTGGTTGTTTTTAACTTTACGAGATGTAAAACAGGCTTTATATGCTATTCCTCCCCCTATCAGCACACAAAACAAGGCCATGTTAGCTGTTGTCAGTTATCAGTGTGTCAGAAATTAACTTGATGAAGGCCTTATTCTAAACAGAGAATTCATGCATAAAAAATGTTAAATACATTTTTTTTGTTTACCCTCAGGTTTTGATTTTTTGATGGCTTTTATTTTGCCACTGTCGGTCAGATTTATTCTTGAAACCCTGATTATTATTATTATTTTTTTTTACCCTGGGTGTGATTTGTAATTCGCTGATGGAAAGTTAATTGCACAAATAATCAAAAGAAAATGAATAAGACTCAGCTATTTTTATTGTGATAAATTACAAGTTTTCAGATATGCTGAAATAATGGTAAACTAATGAAATAGCAAGGTAAACTAGTCTACAACATATATGAGACATGAAATGAATACAAAAGACTGTGCCAGGAGGATAACAAAAATTAGGTGCTTTAGGATGTAGATTTACTGTCTAACGTCACTCATCCCACTACTATAATATTGTTTATAATAAACATTTCCAGACATATTCAGTACATTAATGTTACTTCCTTCCTAAGGTCTTACTGTTACACTGAAATTGTTCAGTCTAGTTCACTAACAGTTTTTGTTATCATATTATACATTCACCTATGTTCACATTGCTGATTGTGAAAGATACACGAATAGTTAATGAAATGCCTTATCCTAGATAACACCACAAGTGTAACGTTATTATGGTACCAGCATGGAGCATTAGTTCAACGTCAAGCTGATAAAAGTAGCCTATTATTGTAACGTTGCAGTGGGAGTTTACATGAGTTTCCAGCATGTTGTGTGATGCTTTCTCCGGTGTGTCGAAAGTGGCCATGTACCATGAGTGCTCGCTCGTGTTCGAGCACGCGCACGAACACGAGTGCTTCTGTAAAAATTGGTTGCAATCTGAAACATCACTGATAGAGGCTGCTAAAAAACACATATAGCACCTTTAAGGTTATCTCTATTCTTTACAATATTGATGTATGAACTGTTATTGTCAAGTAAGCTTATGCTTCATGCTTTCCCCGTTGTGAGCGTGCACTCTAAACTGCAGCTACAGGTGCTGCACTGCTCTAGTTGACGGATGCACCTTTTCCCCTGAAAATATCACATTATACAACCCTTTAGAAAGCGCAATTCCTTTGTGGATCCTCTTGATCTGGCCATCCTTAAAAATATTTTGGTTTGCAGTAACAGCAATTTTTTTAAAAAAAATGGTCGGTAGGTAGGTCTATATTTTTTTTTTCCAGGATTCAGTGTAAAAAAAAAAGTAAAATTTTGGTCATGGTGATCATGAATTTTTTTTTTTTTTTTTTTTTTTAATTGCATACTGTGACGTCACTGACTGGGTCTTCAAACTGTGCATCCACCACTAGGTGTTATTGCAACCTACAACCGGTTACGTTTTTAGGCCAGTCACAAAATGAATAAATATCTACTGTATTTGTTATGCAGCAGTGTGCAGGCTTTTTTTTCCCCAAATACATGAGATATAAGCAAAAACAAGTACAAACACATGGTGAAACAAAGAATACAATTAAACAAAGATACAAATGAGCCTATATACACAGTGCTTTAATTTCAGAAAGATCTAAAATTAGCTACTTTTCAGTTAAGTGTGTTGCGCTGTCTGAAAAGAAATTTAATTTAGTAAATCAAATGTAAAATGACACTGCATGGTTTATCATAGTTAGATTAATGCTTATTAAAGTTTAAGTTAATAATTCAAGAGCTGCGAGTGATTTTTCTCTGCCTTTTGTTGTGTTTGATTCCCATTACTGGCTCAATCGTCACATGTTTATTAGACTACTGCCCCTTTAAGACCGAGTGCGGATCTAGATGACTGATGCACCACCATATCCTCCCAACTATTCACATCCATTTAAGACATAAACTGTGTTTAAATGAATCTCAGAGCAGGTCATTTTAGATTTTATGTATATTTGATAGTTTAGCTGCGCACATGAAGCCCAAAATGAGGCTATAGCCTACTTTTCTTGTCCCGTTGCAGTGCATTTCGGAGCACGCATCACCTTGTGAACAGCGTCTCTTGCGCAGACTTTTGTGCTTTTAATAGCTCTTTTAATGATTGAACCCGTACGCAGTTTAGCAACAGTACAGACTGCATTTTACAACAATTACCGATCGTGCTGATTCTGACGGTACGTTTGGGTTTTAGGAAGAAATGACAGCGCAACGCTGTGAAGGGAAGGAAGTTGCGCTATAGACAGAATGCGTCTGTAATGGTTTCATCTCAAATATCTTTTTATAATCTTTGAAAGCGGAAATCTAAAATACAATTAGAATAATATCCCAGATCTAAAGTGTAGGTAACCACGTTCTGTCCTCATTGTCACTCATTAAGCAGGGCTGTCATGTTGTTCGCGCTGTGGCTCCGGGTGAGAGATCGCTCTCTCTCTTCTGGACTGGGAATAGCAAAATTGCATCAGACAAATTGTTTAATATTGTTATTATATATAGAAATGGATGATATTCAGCCCATTTAATACCGGGTTTACCAAGCGGGAACACTGAATGAAACGAAGCGAACGTATAAGCCTTATAGACAGTGTGACACGGGTAAACCAATCGTGTAAACATAATCAGATGACTATGACGCCACGGGTTTTTATTTAAAAGAAAGAACGTAGCCTACGTTTGTAGACATAAGCAACTTTCACAATACTAACTAAAATATCATTTTATGGAATTTGAATTAGTCGTTTGAAGAGTAAAAAAAAAAAAATTCGGTCGGTCTGAACGCAAGTTACAACCGGCAAGTCGGTCGGACTAAAAGGGAAAAAAAATAAAAAATTGGGTCGGCCCTAAATTGACAGGGTCGGTCGGGTTACGGCAAACAAGAATATTTTTAAGGGTGGCCTCTGCTTTCTCCATGTTTCTTTGACAAATCTCATTGTCTCAGTCTCATGCACGTGAGTTAACCACGCCCACTTATTTACATCGCGGTATAGACTGAATAAAAAAAAACTGTTATGGTTGATATTTTTACCGCAGTAACTGTATTTGTCATACCACCCAGCCCTACTGGTTAATATCTTAATAATCGGTCAATACTGTCAAGCTTCTGGTCAGAGGTGATGGTCAGTCATCAAGAATGCTCAGTTTCCACAAAATAGAAACTTGCTGAATCCATTTCTGGTAGGACTTTTAATCATTCTCACTTAATTTCATCCTCAACTGGGTTTGAGTAAATAGGCTATATAAGTGTAGTGAATTAGCATTTAATTTCTTGTATGAATTTATCCAGTAGTATTTTAATGTAATTTCAAAGTACAATGAAACTTCCACTAATGTAAAGTAAATGTAAGTAACATTTCTTTTACGTTTACCCAAGTATTTAAATTTGTTTTTCACTGGGATTTTACATGCTGTGTACTGATGTTAGTTTAATTAAAAGGCTTTTAACATAAGTCTTTTTATTCAATGTTATTTTATAGGCTACGCTTCTTGCCACCTAATGTATCAAGCAAAAGTCTGCAAGGACATAAAGTAACCAAATAATCAGATGATGCAAGGACCTAAAATAACTCTGAAAGTTTGTTAAGTGCTTGGCCACTGATAATAGGCATCGTTTGTGAGAGGTTTGTTGGTTGATGGTAGACTTGGCTTGGTTTGGTGTCTCTAATGGGTATGATCATCACTGGCTGCTGCTAAAATGTTATTCCTATTCCTTAAAGGGATACTTCACCTCTGGAAAGATTAATGTATATTTAAAATGGGTCATTTATGTAGAAGAAATGTGAAATTATTTTTGAATTTGGAACTTTCTGAACTGAGAAAAGCCAGAAACCAGGTTGAAACAAAGACAACAACTCCCAGAATGCACTTGCTTCACTGCCCTTGGAGGCCATGCCTACCGGTAACAGAGCGCAGTAGTTACAACAACAATTCTAGGCTACTAGTGAGTCTCCATGATGAGTCTGCCTGGGATTTCGAGATCATCCAAAAAATTAGGGCTTTTGCGTTCTACAGTCGCCATTCATTGTTTACTGTGGCGAGCAGGACAGCGCGATGCCGGTGGCGTGATTACTGATGAGCGGCACCTGTGAGATGCACCGTTCTTGGCAATGTTAAAATGCACATCAACCGAACACTTGTTTGGTGTTCATGTAAACACTACATTCAGATTCACCAATCAGAATGAATTCAGTTAGATTTAAACAAAAGGTGTGCATGTAAACAATGAATGGCGACTGCAGAAAGCAAAAGCTGAATCCCAGACATTTTGTACGATCTCAACGGCCGGACAAGTCCAGGAAAAAGAGGATGGTAACCCCTACTACTCAGGTTTCTCTTACTAAGTTACTCAGCTTTCTCCACAGAACAAGAGCCTGCTAGCTTAGCTTCCAAAAGAAAGATGGCTGACATTCTGTGAGTGAGATCCCACCATTCTTTCCTGCAAATACAAAGCTTAATGCTAAATCCTGAAGTATACTTTAAGATTAACTGTTAAAGTTGGATCAATTATGTAGCTGAAAAAATGAACATTCCAAATACCATAATCTGATATTTGTCTTGATTTCCTCTGGGACATGAATGGATAACTAAGGCAACTGGGATATGTTTTC